TGATTTTTCAGAAATTGATCGTTCTATATTCAATTGTTGGCTGTTTTTGAATCATTTCTGGCCACAAAATTTTTACGTTTTAGATTTTTTTTTCAAAATTTTTCACAAATGGCCCAAAAGATTGTAAAAAATGTTTAATAATTTCTATTTTTCAGAAATTCATCGTTCTATGTTTAATTGTTGTGGATTTTTAAGTTATTTGTTGCCACAACGGCAAAAAAAGTTTTTAGGTATCGTATTTTTTATTTTCTTTCGCAAATTGATTAAAAGACTGTAAAAATGTTTAATATAAATTGGATTTTTCCAAAAATTTGTGGCCCTAAATGTTCTCTCTTCTTTAGTTATTTAATGCCAAAATGGCAAACAAAAATTTTTTCAGTTTTAATGGCAAATTGATCAAAAATTTTCTAAAACATGTTTATTATTTTCAAAATGGATCGTTGTATATTTAAAATTGTGTGTCTTTTTGAATTATTTCTTGCCAAAACGGCAAGCCAAAATTTTTACATTACAGAATCTTCCAATTTTTTTTTCAGATTAATCAAAAATTTAAAAAATGTTTAATACAAGTTTGATTTTTAAAAAATTAATAGCCCTAAATTTAACTGTTGTGTGTTTTTGTGTTATTTCGTGCTAAAACAGCAAACAAAAATTTTACATTTCGTATTTTTTGATTTTCTTTCGCAAATTAATTACAAGATTGTGAAGATATTTAATGTAAGTTTGATGTTTCAAAAATTTGTGGCCCTAAATTTAAACTAAATATTTTCTGTTATAAAATAATCCTCGACCAATTTTTTTTATTGGTCTTTTGGTCTGTTCAAGGGTCCTCTTTAGTCCAACTTGTTAACGAACTAGCTACATGAAAATAAAAATCAATCGGTTCTCATCTCCGCTTCATCCCTAATTATCTCTTTGCAAATCCGCTCACGTGATTTTAAATGGACAAGCCGAACCATCTCTCCACAATCTAACAAACCACAGACAGTTCAGTTAATCACATTTTTCTCCATCAACGTTGAATAAATCCTTTCAGAATGGTCTAGCTTCTTTGCTTACACTCACGCCTGACACTTAATTAAACATAAACTATACTCGGCTTTGATCTGGCATTCGACTCTTCTAATTTTCAGCTTCGTTATCTAATTTTCATGCACCACGAGAGTCGTGCTTTAACGCACATTTTTATTCTCTTTGTGGATGTTCCTGACGCGGACAAGGATGCAAGAAATCGATCTTGGAGGTACGGGACGCATTGGAAATCCGGAGCGTTATATTATCAGAGGGAGCATTTATCATGGCGGCATTGTCCGGCTTTGCACTTCATTTACCCGAGTTTAAAGAAGGCTGCAAGAATAATTGCACGGGCTTGAATGCAATTCAGAAGATGCTCTTTGTGCAGAAGGAGGTCAGTGGGGTGACGTCAATGGGAATGCTGCTATAGTTTCCGTTGTGTTACTAACGAGCGATGAAAGGTCGGACTTCGTTTTTTATTTACTTATTTTCAAGCTTAAATGGCCTTGTTTGACATGCGTTCTAGTGCTAAGTTGAACAACAGTGGTGATAATTATGAGGGATCACCTTACATTATGCGGTTTCTTGATCTCCAGGTACTAGGTCTCAGTTCTTCCCTTTAAATATTATTTTTTTACATTCTCCATCCTTTCTTTTTTCGTATATTTTTTGGCATTTTTTATTTTGTTGTTCATACTTTTCCTCGTTTCTTCGGACTCGTTTAACATTTTCAAGTTTTTTTATATCCTAGCATTTTTCTCATTCCTAATACAACCACACATTTTTCTTCTCATTTGTTTCTTCTTTAAAGTATATATTATACTGTTTGATGAACTTTGCCATCTGCGCCAGGTCAAGTCAGGTCAGTTAGTTAACTTTTCAAAATAAATCAGTATTAATTTTTCGCCTTTTACATTCTTTTATTGCGCAAGAAAAGTGGTTTTGTTCCTAATAACATCCCTAATAAAATATAATGCTCGCTTTTATCCCCGTTGATCAAATTAAATTTTTCCAAAAAATATTTTATTTATTTTTTATTTTTGGTTTTCTTAGGGAGCTATTGATAAACTGATCCCATTGATGAGTGGTTGATAACACTCTAGCTAGCACAATTTGTCTAATCATCGTCACCAACAATGTGACGACGGCACCTCAAAATGTTACAGAAAATCTTATTTAAGCTTTATAAAATTATATACACTTACACTTACGGTTTATGAATCCGTATTGATTTTTACCCTACACATCTACATATTTGGAAGAAAAATTGTAACTGTATAACCGAGTTACTTCAACAAGTTTTATCTTATGAGATCCTATTGTACACTGATTCCAAATTTGTAAAAACAATGGTTTTTTGAAAATTTTGAAAATCATGATCATTCGCAATATCAATGCCATGACGTCATTTACTTCCAAAATGTACGATAATAAATCTCATTAAAATTTTCTTCACTTGAATTTTCACACAAGATATCGAGATTTTTGAAAGTTTTGTAACATTTTGCAATTAAACTTAGAAAATGTTCTAAAGTCAATTAACAAAATATTATGACTTCATTCTTGTGGTATACCAATACGTTCATTGGTTTTTATAAATACAGGGTGACACAAAAAAGTATGAACCTATTTTATTGATCAACGCCATTTTCCTGAAAATTTTGTAACTTCTACGCATTCTCTGCGTTCTTTTCTTAAATATAGTCTCAGAGTATTCAAGAAATACTGGCAGTGAAGTTGTTTGGATTCAATCGATTCCGTGATTTTAAGAAAACACGCATGTTCAGGTCTCCCCAAGCACAACTCTTTTAAAGTTCACTTTTTGTGGACGATAACTACATTTATTGTTAATAATTTCAGTTTTGAAAAAATTGTTTAAAAACCCACAAAAAGTTCTGGGAAATATCCTGATTTCAAAAATGTAGAGTTTTTATGTTAATTCCACGACACTTTCAAAATTTTTGGTTTTAAAGTAATTTTTTTTTTAATTCCAAAAATTTGGATACTTCAATGGTCGATTCTGGAAAAATGATCGGAGCTATCAAAGAAACAAGGCCAGAAATGATTTCTAGCGCTCGAGAACTATAAGAAATAAACACATTAAGTTTCGAAAATAATCAAAAACAGGTCAAAATTTGAAGAATTGGAAAATTTTCAATTTTAAATAAGTTGTCTAAAAATCTAGCAAAAATTCTGATATATAGATCTCGATGTGCTGATTCCAAAAATACAGAGTTTTTCTGTTCATCGCTCGACATCTTCAAAATTTTCGGTTTTAAATTCAAATTTTTTAAAAATTCCAAAAATCTTGATATTTCAATGATCGCTTCTGGAAAAACGGCAGCAGTTACCAAAGAAACGAAGCCGTAAATGACTCCTAGAACTCGAAATCTACAAGAAAATGTTTTTGGTTAAGTTTCGAAAATCGACAAAAATAAGTCAAAATTTGAAGAATTGAAAAAAATTTCATTTTAAAAAAGGTTATCTAAAAATCCACGAAAAGTTCTGGGATATTTTCTGATTCCAAAAAAAATAGACTTTTAAGTTAATCCCGCTACATTTTCAAAACTTTTGGTTTGAAAGTCAATTTTTTTTTAATTCCAAAAATTTGGATAATTCAATGGCCGATTCTGGAAAAATGGTAGGATTTACCAAAGAAACAAGGCCGGAAATGTGTTTAATTAAATTTCGAAAGTGATCAAAAATGTTTCGAAATTTGAAGAATTGGAAAAAAATTTCAGTTTTGAAAAAGTTGTCTAAAAATCTACAAAAAAGTCTGAGGCATAGATCTCGATGTGGCGATACCAAAAACATAATATTTTTACATCCATCACCCGACATTTTCAAAATATGCGGTTTTAAAACCAAATTTTTTAAAAATTCCAAAAATTTCGATATCTCAGTGGTTGATTCTGGAAAAATAGAATGAAAAGAAAATGCATATTTTTTAAATTACACCTGAACGTACCCACTGCGCTCGCATTCTTAATATTCTTTTATAAAATAATACGGTTTCACCAGAACGTTCACTCTCTGACCTGACAAATACCGATCGATTTGGCGCTAATCATTAGGATAAGCATTGCCAAAATCTTGGCCAAGTTGAACAACCTTGCAAGCTGAAAGTTCGTGTTATTTTTTAATTCCGCGCCGTGATATGTATCTGACCGAAAAATTTACCCGAAATTTATTAACCAAACGTGCTAATTGATACGTCTGGTTATATTTATAGGGGTAGTAGAGTGGCCATAATTTCCACTGGCTCCACTCAGCCGTCATAAATTCCACTAATATTATAATGTTAGTGTGATTCATGATTCAGTCGTTTTGGGTGCGTAAAGGAAAATCGTGTAATTTATTTAGGTGTCTAATTTTCTCCACCAGTAGCATCGATACGGCTAATTTTCACCAAACGGTTTATTGAAATGGGTTCCACAAATATCATAACAATAATTCGTTGAGTGAAAATCGATAATTCAACCTTGTATTGAGTGGATGCTCACAAATTGTCCATTACGGATTGGAGGCAAGTGACTTGTATTAATGGTATGGATTTTAGTGGGTAATAATGGGTCAAAACTACTACTTTTCTAACTCTAATAATAAGTGGGTGGGTTTTAATCACTGAATAAATAATTGTTTATTTGGATATTTGTTACGCTAAAAATAGCCGTTGTCAACAATTAGTTGAAAACAAAAAGGAGAAACAGAATTAATTATGTATGGTCATAAAAAATAACTCAGGAACAAAGCAATGTCACGGGATTTAAAAACTTCAAAGCCTTCTTGCTAAAGCATTACATCAACCAGTCATCTGCATGACGCCTCAAGTAATGCCATCGGGGCTGTGCTCTGTTTCGTTCACATTATCTGACAGCTATACCTTGTAAGAAAAACTGACCGTAATCAGATTATCTGACTAATTTACTACTATAAAAGTCCGCATTAATTTTTAACACAACTAACTCCGCTTTTCTTTGTTTCAGTGAAAAAGGCTCGTTACGTTGGAGCACAAGGTAAGTCTATTTTCATTTCGTTCTTCTCCCTTGAGCACATTCCATGCTTATGTCGTGATCAACGACAGAACGAGCGACTACATAAAAAAATAATCAGACGAGAAGCGAGTAAATTGTACAAAAAGAGCCCGAATGCAAATCGGTTGTTTGTGCCTGAGCCCCAAATCCTGGCAGATTAATCACCGGAATAACATGGCATTCGTGGAGTCACACATGGTTACTATTTTAATATCAAATGGAGCAAGCACATTGCGGCATAGAGCGTGTCTGTTCAAAATGTCATCAAATCCGGCTTTTATTTCCGTCGAATTTATTCGAATCGTTTCAAAGCCAACTGCGACTTCTGTTGCTAAATTCGTTCAATTCCCGTCGTCTTCATACAAATTCGCCGGCAATTAATTCTGGATAATGGTTTAATTTCGGTTACTTCAAATACCCGCACTGTAACGGCAGTAATTATGACAATGTCGGAAGTGGCGTTTCCCCTCTGCTGCCTAATCCTATCGTCGTATCGGTTTTTCTTGCAATAATCTCGCATAAATTTATCTTTCAGCATCCGTCTTTTTTACTTCTTTTCCTTCGCAATTTGGCGTGTAATAAAGGAATTTTTTACGGGCGCTCCGCTGGGATGGAACCATCTTTATCACATCCTTTGCACTTTTAATAATCAGCGTGAAATATGTACACAGCGGTGCACAAAATGATGCGAGATTTTTCACAACTTTTACGACCACGCTGGTCGTCGTGTTCAATATTTTAAGCATAGTGCGTAGTTTTCCTGGAGGAATCGTGCACCCGCGACCTCGTCTCGCTTATTCTTTTCAACGAATAAAAGCCAGAATTCGTTTTTAACGAGATCTATTAACCGTCTCTTCGCTTCTTGCTTTTATTAGAGCATTTATTCCCCTCGTAAAACCTCGGCGGTTGAATCAACTCAAACACACTATTGCTCACCACACCTCTAAACAACGTAATATTTTGTAAAACCACTTGAAACTTCGAAAAGACAAGCCGATTTAAGAAAACGTCTGATTTATACGATTATCTTGTTATTTTCCTTCCTACTCTTTCTAGGTCAGGATGCGACGCCTCCTAGTCTAGACTCTTACGCCTCTCATAACACACATTATCTTCCTTCGGGATTTTTTGCACACTGGCTTTCTCTATGCACAAGACAATCTAATTGGGATTTTTTTTCAGCGTCTCAGTTTAACACTTACGTTACCCTCAAGCTACAAAACGTCAAATCCACCACAGTGACGGTCAAAGGAGCGACACCATGCTGGGAACAAGACTTTCTCTTGTAAGTGTCGCTTTTTCTGAATATTTCTGACTTTTATTTTCATTTCTGATTGGGCAAAACGAGCTACTCAAATTAGTTTTAAACACCAAACCACGTGAAATTTTCTTGTTGCGTGCACCATGAGAGCTTTCGTGCTCGTGATTAAGCATGTAGTGAAGTGTTTTCCCTATGGATGCCGTGGCTCAAGAACCAGACTACACCCACTTGCCTAAGCAACTCCTTCTGAATTATCGTCGAAGTTCACTTAAAACTTTGTCTTTTAAATCAGCTAAACCTACTTAACACTACACTGAATCATGCGGATACAAAATTACTAAACTTTGAGAATACAGTAATGTTGCGCGCGCCTATTTTCAATAATAATAATACATCATGCTTTTCTTATTTAAAAAATACAACCTTAGAATGCGAGCGCAGCGAGAACGTTCAGGTTTCCCCAACATTTGTAATCAGAAAAAAAATGATTAGAAACTAAATTATCAAAAAATTGAAAATATGAAAAATTGAACATTTAAAATGGAAAATTTCAGTTTTTTTTAAAGCAATTTTTTGATTTTTACTTTTTTACCTTATGGAATTACCATCTTTAACGTTTTCGTATTTTAATTGCTCAATTTTTCAACACAATGAACAAATGTATTCGAAACTGAAAATTGAAAAATCGCAAAATTAAAAAACGAAAGATGGAAAATCGAATATTCGAGAAATCATAAAATTGTAAAATTGTAAAACTGGAAAATTCAACGATCTGTCAATACCAAAAATAAAAATAAAACTAGAAATTGGTAAACGGAAAATTGTAAAATTGAGACATTCGAAAGTAAAAAATTGAAACATCGGGAAAATAAATGGAAATATCGAAAAACAGAAAAATTTAAAATCAAATGGAAAATAGAAAAAAAGCAAAATCAGAAATCGGAAAATTAAAAAAACAAAAATTGTAACATTGAAACATCGAAAGATGAAATAATAATGGGGAAATTTAAAAATCCAAGAATCACAAAATTGAAACTTCGTAAAAAAAGTTCAGAAAATGAAATTTCCAAAAATTGAAGTCTTCAAATTTTTTTCAGCAATTTTTTGATTTTTATAGTTTTAAATTTTCGATTTTCAATATTTCATGTTCTCGAAGTTTAATTTTCTAGTTTTTCAACAAAACGAACAAATATATTCAAACTGAAATTTTGAAAAATCTAGAAGTCACAAAACGAAAACTCAAAATCGAAAAATAAAAAACTAACAATTAAATAACTGACAAAACCTAAGATTTCAAAATTTAAAAATTGTAAAATCGAAAAATAGAGATCACAAATAAAAATTATTAAATTCAAAAAACAAAAAGTGAAAAATCGACCGAAAGGAAAAATAAAAATACCTAGAAATTGACAAAAAAGAAATGGAAAATAGACAAATTGAGAAATCAGAAATCAGAAGATTGAACGATTTTTTTATTTAGCAATTTTTCGATTTTTATATTTTCAGTTTTTTAACAAAAAACGACAGATATATTTTAGCTTCTCACATATTCAAAAATCAAAAATGAAAAATGGAAAAATTGGAAAAACGAAAAATTGAAATACCTACACGTCAACAACCGAAAAAGTGCAAATCAAAAAACTGAGGAAATGGAAGACAGAAAAATCGAAACTTTAAAAATTGGAATATTGAAAGAACAAAAAATTGTAACACTGAAACATGGAAAAGTTAAAGACTAAAATAGTCGAGAAATTTAAAAACCGAAATCAAAACAGAAAAAAAATTAATTGAAAGTAAAATATCAAAAAATTGAAAATCTGAAAAAATGAACATTTAAAATGGACAATTTCAGTTTGTATTAAGCAATTTTTTGATTTTTATTTTTACCTCATGGAATTACCATCGTTAACGTTTTCGTACTTTAATTTCTCAATTTTTCGACAAAAAGAACAAATTTATTCAAAACTGAAAATTGAAAATTCGGAAAATTAAAAAACGAAATATGGAAAGTCGAAAATTTGAGAAATCATAAAATTGCAAAATTGTAAAACTTGAAAATTCAACGATCTGTCAATCCCAAAAATAAAAATAAAACTAGAAATTGGAAAACGAAAAATTGTAATATTGAGACATTCAAAAGTAAAAATTTGAAACATTGAAAAACAGAAAAATTTAAAATCAAAAACAAATGGAAAATAGAAAAATTGCAAAATCAGAAATCGAAAAATTGAAAAAACAAAAACCTGTAACACTGAAATATCGAAAAATGAAATAATAATCGGAAAATTTAAAAATCCTAGAATCACAAAATTGAAACTACGTAAAAAATGTCCAGAAAATGAAAATCAAAAATTGAAGTCTTGAATTTTTATTCAGCAATTTTTCGATTTTTGTAGTTTTAAATTTTCGGTTTTCAATTTTTCATTTCCTCGAATTTTAATTTTCTAGTTTTTCAACAAAAGAAACAAATTATTCAAACTGAAATTCTGAAAAATCTAGAAGTCAAAAACGGAAACTCAAAATCAAAAAATAAAAAAACTAACAATTAAATAACTGAGAAAACCAAAAATTTCAAAATTTCAAAATTGTAAAATCGAAAAATAGAAATCAGAAATAAAAATTAATAAATTCAGAATTCAAAAGTTGAAAAATCGGACAAAACGAAAAATAAAAATACCTATCAATTGCCAAAAAAGAAATGGAAAATAGAGAAATTGAAAAATCAGAAATTAGAAGAATGAAAGATTTTTTTATTTTTATTTAACAATTTTTCAATTTTTATATTTTCACATTTTCGATTTTCAATTTTTTATTTTCTCGAATTTTAAATTTTCAGTTATTTAACAAAAACGACAGATATATTTTAGTTTAGTCTTACTAAGACTATTCAAGAAAAAGTTATGGTGATTTTTTTGTGTTCAATTGTAATAATATAACTGTCGAATTTAAAAGATATACATTTAGGATGCGAGCGCAGCGAGCACGTTCAGGTTTCCCGAACATTAGTAATCACAATTGTTTTTAAGATTAACATTTTTTTTGACAATAATGTATTGAATACAGATCAAAAATTAAAAGAAAATATCACGGATTCAAAAATCAAAAATTGAAAAATGGAAAAATTGGGAAATCGAAAAATAGAAATACCTAGACGTCAACAACTGAAAAAGTGCAAATCAAAAAACTGAGGAAATGGAAGTTAAAAATCGAAACATTAAAAGTTGGAATATTAAAAGAACAAAAAATTGTAACACTGAAACATGGAAAAATTAAAGACTAAAATAGTCGAGAAATTTAAAAACCGAAATCGAACAGAAAAAAATGATTAGAAACTAAAATATCAAAAAAATTGAAAATATGAAAAATTGAATATTTAAAATGGAAAATTTCAGGTTTTAATAGCAATTTTTCAATTTTTATTTTTTTACCTTATGGAATTACCATCTTTAACGTTTTCGTATATTAATTTCTCAATTTTTCAACAAAAAGAACAAGTTTATTCAAAACTGAAAATTGAAAAATCGAAAAATTAAAAACGAAAGATGGAAAATCGAAAATTGAGAAATCATAAAATTGCAAAATTGTAAAACTGGAAAATTTAACGATCTGTCAATACCAAAAATAAAAATAAAACGAGAAATTGGAAAACGAAAAACTGTAATATTGAGACATTCAAAAGTAAAAAATTGACATATCAGGAAAATAAATGGAAATATTGATAAACAGAACAATTTAAAATCAAAAACAAATGGAAAAGAGAAAAATTGCAAAATCAGAAATCGGAAAATTGAAAAAACAAAAACTGTAACATTGAAACATCGAAAAATGAAATAATAATCGGGAAATTTAGAAATCCAAGAATCACAAAATTGAAACTTCGTAAAAAATGTACAGAAATGAAATTTCCGATAATTGAAGTCTTCAGTTTTAATTCAGCAATTTTTCGATTTTAACAGTTTTAAATTTTCGATTTTCAATTTTTCATTTTCACGAATTTTAATTTTCTGGTTTTTCAACAAAAGGAACAAATATATTCAAACTGAAATTTTAAAAATCTAGGAGTCAAAAAGCGAAAACTCAAAATCGAAAAATAAAAAACTAGCAATTAAATAACTGAGAAAACCAAGAATTTAAAAATTTAAAAATTGTATAATCGAAAAATTGAGATCAGAAATAAAAATTAATAAATTTAAAAATCAAAAATTGAAAAATAGAACAAAAAGAAAAATAAAAATACCTAGAAATTGACAAAAAAGAAATGGAAAATGTAGAAATTGAAAAATCAGAAATCAGAAGATTGAAAGATTTTTTTTCAATTTTTATTTACCAATTTTTCGATTTTTATATTTTCAGTTTTTTAAAAAAAAGTGACATATATTTTAGTTTTCCAGGAACACCGACGATTAATTTTTAATGAAACCTGAACGTGCTCGCTGCCCTCGCATGCTAAACGTTTTTTTTTATGTTTAGTCTTACTAAGACCATTCAAGAAAAAGTTATAGTGAATTGTTTTACAATAAAGTATTGAATACGGATCAAAAATAAAAGAAAAATATCACGGATTCAAAAACCAAAAATTGAAAAATGGAAAAATTGGGAAAACGAAAAGTAGAAATACCTAGACGTCAACATCCGAAAAAGTGCAAATCAAAAAACTGAGGAAATGGAAGATAGAAAAATCGAAACATTAAAAATTGGAATATTCAAAGAACAAAAAATTGAAACACTGAAACATGGAAAAATTAAAGACTAAAATAGTCGAGAAATTTAAAACCGAAATCGAAACAGAAAACAATGATTATAAACTAAAATATCAAAAAATTGAAAATATGAAAAATCGGACATTTAAAATGGAAAAATTCAGTTTTTATTAAGCAATTTTTCGATTTTTATTTTTTTACCTTATGGAATTACCATCTTTAACGTTTTCGTATTTTAATTTCTCAATTTTTCAACAAAGAGAACAAATTTATTCAAAACTGGAAATTGAAAAATCGGAAAATTAAAAAACTTAAGATGGAAAA